TATATCATGTGTGCTCACACATTAAAATGAACTCATATCCACACTGAAGTGTATCGACTCAATTAAGATTTCAATTCCAATATAAATACGTTCCAAATATAAATATAGCACTGTACACCATTCCCTTTAAGAAAACTCTGAAATGAGAAGATTGTCAAGGACCATTAGAAATGATGCGGCTGATATCAAATGTGAACGTGAGCAGCCAAAAGAAAGATGAGAAGAAAAAAACATTTTTTTAAACCATGCTCTGGTGAACATGCATGTGTTCGTGCACATACTACAGAAACCAAGTGTAAACACAAAGTTATATTTGAAAATATCAACCTCATACATTTTTAACCTTGAAGAAAATGTGGTCATAAAAAGAAAAAGAAAAAAAAAATGGCCACCATTCCATGAAAACCTTTAGTCACTCTGCAGATATGTGCCAAATTCCTTCTTCTTCTTTCAGCATTTAAGCTCACATTTGGTGATTACTGCATCTACCACAGGTTTAATGTCTGGTTAGAAACTAGCAAAAGAGCTGTTATTAATTTTATTTTTTACATGTGCAAAGTGTGCCAACTTCAAATGAGGCCTGACTGGCAAAGAGTTTCAAAATAACACCACCTTCGTCAAACTTAAAAAAAAAAACAAAAAAGACATTCACTGACTTGAATGAAGCTCAAACACATTACAACAGATGGATTCGGTAAAATAAAACAGCCATCTGAATCAACACTCTCTTCACGCTCATGTCACAGTGCTAAGTCAAGTGTGCAGCTAATGGCTGGCTCATACAATCTCAATTTACAAGGCACAAGCTAATGACTCCACTGTAGGAAGATGCAGGAAACTGTGTGCAGCACGTTACACAGAAAGGTAACAATGTGCTGTGGGTCGGTTGATTAAGATCATTTTTCATTCCAGAGAAGACAAAACAAGTTTGACTAACTTGTTCTTCATCCAACTGACTTCCCAGAAAGTCTTTGCTGACTAAACAAAGTCCTCTTTAACAAAAGAAAGAAAGAAAGAAAAAGACCCACAAGCGCCACACAATTAGCCCGATCACATATAACAGCTGAACAGGTTCATCAGCCTTCACTGTGGTCTTGTGTGAAATCTTTGGCTGCATTGTAGAAATTTAGATTCCTTTTAAAGCATAACAGTCACCTCACTATTGAGGAGTATGCAATCAAAATATTTTCCTAAAATACATTTAGTAACGTATGATATCGGTTATATCAAATATTAATACAATCAGTTGCCAGTTTATTAGGTACACCTAGGAACACATGTAATAAATTATTCTTTCTAAACTAGTTTCAGACATGTTTTATGTGTAGTTTGAACATTGCACAGCTGGATGTGTTAATTAAAGAGAAAAAACTTCAGTTCTAGTCTATCTAATCTGGCAACTGAGATCATTTTTATGTGTTAATTAAACAGAGAAAACTTCAGGATGGATTCTGTTTCAGCTCTTGTCTACCTAATAATCTGGCAACTGAGATCATTTTTAATAGCTGTTACTGTTTAATTAAGGCTGAATGTGTGATAAAAAAAATTTATTTTGCCAGGTTTTGAGAGTGCATACATATATATACACATATATGTGTATATATATATATAACCATCCATGGGACAAAATATTTCATTTGATAGAGAATAAAAGATTGACCTATTCATCACTTTTTTAAAACCTTTTTTTTTCCACTGTTATTTTGAAAAATAGGAGATCCACTTTGATTAGCCTATTTACTTTTTAGGAAAACAGCAGTTTTTCACCAATTCTGATGTCTGGTTTACCAAGAGATGCAGACTAATGGGTACATAAATATTATTAGTTAACTGTAACTACTTCACTTAAGTAAACCTTTTAGACTTATGCAACGTCTTAGTTTAAAACATGTCTTCAAAGAAGGAACTTGTCAAAACACAAAACAACCAAAAATAAAAAGTAAAGAGATGCTACCCTTGTATTTTATGTGAAACGGCTTTTAAGCACAATCCTAAACGCTAGTGTTTGGGAGGCATCAAACTCTCGTAAACAACAATATGATCTGACATAAACCAGGTTTCAGGCACATGTAGCTATAAGTGTGAACTGAAGCCTAACAACTCCAGCAAGCCTTAAAGAGTGTTAGAACACGTTTTACTGGGACTTTGTGGTAAGAAATGAAAGAACAGAAAAGTCACTTTTTTAAAAATGCACTGGAAATACTGGTTTACTTTGTTTTCAGAACAACAGAAAGGTGAGTCCTGTTATGGAACAATCTGTGAAAACACCTGACAAAACTGACATACAGAGCCACAGGTCACCTTTTAGCATGGGGAACACCCAGTCTTGCTGTCAAAGTTCACTAGCAGTCTAAGTGGACAAAGTTTTTATACTTCACTTTGATTATCAGAATGGATACCCAAACACTCAACACCCCAAATCCACCGCATATCCTAATGATCAGTACCCTCAACACTGCTACAAAGTCCCACTGTTATTTACCCTCTGCAGCAGCAGGACCATCTTTACCATCTACAGGAGGGGGATCTTCATTCTGTCTCTTGTCAGTTCTGGATAGGTCTGGATGGACTAGTTTTTGTTCCAGCTTTTTGTCTTTTTTCCCAGCATCCCACGATTCAAACTTATTTATACTGTAGCCAGGTGGGGTGGGAGGCTGATAGCGATATCTGTAGCCAAAGGCACGCAGGTGATAAGTGTAATATTCCATTAAATACATCCCTACAGCATCCACGTAATGGAAAGATATTGACATGTCCGAGCAGCAGTTAGGACCCTGAAAAAAAGGAGAAAAAAAAAAACAAGATATGGTTATTAATACACATGGAGGAATGTTTGTTTTGTAAACAAAAGAAAATGTCAATGTGAATGGGTGGAGTACAAAAGAAGACTAATGGTCTTGCGTCAGACTATTTATTCATGCTTGATAAATCCAGAAATGAATGCAAGACTCCATCAGTTTGGTTAAACAGTAGGGCTGTAACAAAACTGCAGTACCCAGCCCACAGTCTTGTTGCGATATCACCATTTTGTGGGTCTAAACACCATGTGTATAAATGCTAATTGACAGTGACAATGTTGGTAACACGCATCATGTTCAAGATGCTCATGCAGATTATGATTTAACCAGGTGTAGCTGTGCTAGTTAATGACTGATTAAAGAATGCTAGTCTGGTTAACCATATAATGTTAAAACTGGATCTATTGCGGATTTTATTCTTGGACTCTACTAGAGTAGCTTTGCAAGATACAAAATTTTGAATTAGTTCAACCACTCTCTTATATTAGCTGCTCTTCCAGTAAGCTCACTTTATTGAGACTGGCTGCACCTCACAAGCAAGAGAGTGCAGTCCAAAGCTTCAGCGTTTGGCTAATAGAGATTAAGCATATAATGCTAACCTCAATATTAAAGAATCCATATTAGCTTCCACCACTTTGCACGCATGCCAGAAAGAAAAAACAACAAGCATAACAGGTCCACTTTAAACATTGTTCTAGTATGGAGTGAAGTGGAAATGCATCCAAATATTGGATTTTATTTTGCAGGTGAGAATTCAGTTAAAATATTAATAGTGTTCAGCTTTCTTTAAACCTCTTTAATAGTGATGTCAAGAGTAAACACAATGTCAACGGTGTTTGCCACACTTGCCTCTGAGATGGGGTAGTAGCAGTAGCTCCAATACCAGAAGCTCTTTGGAAATTTGGCAGTGAGGTGCTGCTCAAGGACAAAGGGGTGAAATGTCTCCCTATGAAAAGAGTCTCTGGAGTCTCCAGCCAGCACCCCAACTTTCTCCATGCACTGCCCCATTGCCAGGTCCTCTACGGAGGTAGTATGAGTACACTGTTTGCTTTTAAAACCTTCAACAAATCTTCGCAAAGCCTCTTTGCTCAGTACGTAGCCTGCACCACCACTCATGTAGCCCTGCTTAGTGTAGGGCTTGAATCGTCTGCCGAAGTAAATAGGTTCCTCAGGAGTGTGGTTTGCAAGAATCCAGCGCAGGTTGTCCACTATGACGTAGGTGTCGTCATCTGCCTTGAGGAACCAATCTGCCTCATCTGCATAATGCTCATAAGCATAATGGTAGGCCCGAATTGTTTTCCAGTACAGCTGATCCCGACCCTCCTTTGTACCTAATCCCACTGTGGGGAAGTCGGGGTCATCCACAGAGCTCATGAAGACAACAATATTGCAATGGCGACTCCAAGTGTACTTCGCATGTCGAGTCTTCGTCTCCAGGTTTTTGGGTCCAGTCATCACCCAGCAAAGAATACGCACCTTTTTGTACAATTCATCAGCCATGCGGCTATCCTCACCTGGTAAGGACACAGAGACGTTATTATCATTTCACTGACTGAAACAAAGATAAGTCCAACTGTTTCAGGAACCTCCTACAACTACTGATGGTCCTGGAGGGTAAACTAATGGAAAGATGTTTTGCTCACATGTTATTGTTGGTGACTGTGCTTCCAGGTTCGCAAATAATCAATGCAGAAAAAAAGACAAGATTTCACATTTAATTTGCTGATGGCAACTTGGAAATACTGAGACTAGTTATGGTTGGTAATAATTCTGTCACAAAAAAGCAGTGCAGATCAGTGCAGTGCAACAGCTATTTAGATAAACAGTTTGGGCAAGTTACCAGTAATGAATTACTTCACCTTAATTTCACATCAAATCTGAGTACTAAAGGTATATTTGCACATACATAAGATACCAGATTACTGGAAAAGTGGGGATCAATCAGGTAATAACATGCTTTCATGCACTACAACACCCCATGAAGTGTACGGACCCCTGCAACATTTTACTAAAGCATACAAAATCTGTCTGCCTGTGAGATCCTCCAACATAATCAGGACTTGAGCAACCAAAATTGGCATAGTACACAGGTACTGCACATATTAACCCGATTAAATTCATGAATATTATGAATGCTTGGCAACCACCTACCAACGGGTAAAAGAATCCATTTCAGCATTTATGCACCTATATTATTTTATAAAAGTGTTATACAATTGATTGGTCTGATAAGCAGTGTAAGGTGATCAAACCCTCTCGTCTGAAAGATTCAAAAAATTTATTTAACTTTCTTTCCAGTTTTATCTGTGATCTTCTTTAATAGGTGTCATGGATGCTTTGAATATTTCTCTGCTTTGAATTACTCTTATGAGTGATTCTGTGTGTATTCACTTTTGTCTTTACAGGGAGAACAAAAAGCTCTAGTAACTAATACTCATGACTCAGTACGGTGATATGCACCTTTATTCACAGCTTAAGTGAAACTGTTACTAAAATTGTTCTACTTATCAGCGGTCTGCTAGAAATCTGCTGACTTAAACTAATTACAGAGACATGAGAGGTTTTTGTTCCCCTGTCCTGGATTACAGAAATCAGCTTCCAATTCTCACTAACACAGTTGGACTCTTCCCTTCAATGTATGCTAATACACTCGTTTCCCTGTGCTTTGTGTTCCTGAGCTTTCACATCTTTCTTCTTCCTTGTGGATTCCAGTCAAGACCTGGCGACTGCTGAGCTTCCTGAGGGTGTAGTCAATCATCTCCACTTTATCCTCATGATTATATGACTATTGATTTCTTGCTTGTTCTTGTCCACAGTTCTCACTTGGTAATGTTCAAATCTTGATTGGTTATAAGGGATTTATACTTCTTTGCTAAATCTACGCCATAAGCACACTGTAACCACAAACCTCTTTGAAATCCTAGATTGTGTCCTGACGTGCACGTCCCTGGAAATGTAAACACACAGCTGCCCGTAAAGCCCACTTTTGACTACATTATTGCATCATGGGTTTTACATAGATTCATATCATACAGAAAGTACTCAGGTATAACAGGAAAGGCTACTTAGCCGTTATAAACAAGGCTTGAGAGAGTTATGGCTGCAGTAAACGAAAACAGCTGCAATCTAAAACAAATGTAACTTGGCTCTGTTAATCGTCAAACACAGAGCACATTTTTGTTAATCAAAATAAAAAATATTGAAAAATAAAAAATGGATTACTGCAGACATTTCAGTTAAATAAGGCAACAAGGTGACTCCGAACCTGTGCTCTAAGTAAATGAATATGTACAATCTTCAAGGATATAACTATGTAGCTCGTGGTCACGTGCAAGAGATAACGTTTTATAAACCGGACTCAACCCTTTTCCTTGTTGAGAACATATGTCCTAAAAGTCTGAAGATAGATAGAATCACGTCCTCACTTGGCCTGAAGATAAAATATTGTTCTGGTTTAAGACAAAACATTTCACCCCTTTAAAACATTGAAAGGTTTTTACCTATATTTGTAGCTACTGAAGCAGTCCATGGCTTTCTATGCTTCACTACCTATACATATAATGTACAAACTTGCCTAGCAGAAAGTGAGACTACTATGGTATAAAAGGGACTACAATGAAGAAGTGAAATTTAAAAAGGAAGTTTTCATTTATGCTGTAAGTGTAGCTGGCCAAAGTCCAAAACTGAATACCGTAAATTATTAATTTATCAGAAGATTCAAAGTCTGAAACACACAGATTGGTGTTTAATTAAGGCATTAAAGAGGCACATGCTGTGATACCTATGTGATGAGGGTGCTCGAGGTTGAAAAGTGCAGACCCCTCTTTCTTCCACATTTTCTTTTCCTCCTCGAGCTGTTGCTGGTAGTCCTGAATTCTAGCCAAGGTGGTGACTTGATGCATTGGCAGAGTCTTCTCAAACCAAAGCTGCCGCAGAAACACGTACAGCGTAAAAGTTCCCACCACAAAGCCCGCATAAAATGAGATTCTGGGTCCGAGGGTCTTCATGGTGGACCGGATGTCCTCACGGGCAGAGACTTAACTTGGCAGCAGCTGCGTACGAGAGCAAAGGAAGCATGGACCTAAGTTTCACTACAGTCTCGAGCTGTAGACGTGTTGACTATGAGCGTGATTACAAGTGTTTGTCACTCCCTGTTAAAGGTGTGGTTTACTCACCAGCTTTAGCCTATCAACCATATCAGCTTTATGACAGCACACAGCTAGTCCATAGGTGTTCAAACACTTCCGCGCATAAAGCGGCGTTTTTCTTCAGGTAGCCCAGCTAGCCACACTTGCTAAGTTAACACGTATGATGGTGGGTGTGGGGGTGGGGTAAAAACCTGCTAAAAGAATATGTATGTTAACCGAGAAAACAAAATTTCCCCGGAAGAAAAATAGAACTAAGTACAGTCACAGTCATAACCAGTTAATCGGTTTCTCCAGTCATGTGTGTTAGGACAGCTGGTGATAGCTAACTAGCTAGTCCGTTATTTTTCCGAGTGCTAACGTTAACTTTCCATCACGTCGCGGTTACACGGAGCAAGAGGAAACGACGCAGCCCACCGACGGGCTGAAAAAAATCCGGACAGGAATAAAGTCAGAGAGTTTAGTGAAACTGTCACGCAGATTACAATAGTATTACTAATATTATACGAAACACGCCAAGAACTACATCTAACTTGTCTGCCGCTTCCTTCCGTCTAAAAAAAAAAAGTAACTTCCGGTCAATTTATTCAGAAGAAAAGCGCTGACATGTTTTCACATAAGTTAATATGGAGAGTGGTGTGTTTTCTTTATAAAATAATACGTAATAATATGACTTTTGTTTTCTCAGAAAAAGATGTGAGGTGTGGAATATGTTTGACTGTGAAAGTTGAGCATAAATACAGTTATATAAACAAAGGAAGCAAAGTCTGGTTGCAGTGACAAAGAGAAAAGACAAAAAAAAGGACTGACATTTGTTCCGCCTGTGTCAACACACGACTGGATCATGTGTTGACCCCATCACCTCTTCTTTGTCTGTTCACTTTTATGTTTCTTCCTTTTCTAACTAAATTGATTTCGTTAACAGGGGTTTACATATGTGGTAGGATAAAACTTCCAGTGCATAATTACTGTTCTTTAAAGTGTGTTGATATTAAATAAATGAATTAAATAATTATAAGAGTCATGTATCAACAAAATTAAAGCCGAATTTTAATTTATACCTTATTTCAACTGTTATTTTTGTTACCCAATTTGGGTACAGGACAGGTTTTAAAACTGAATAAAATTAAAAAATTCAGAACAAGCACTGCAGTCAAAAATGTCCAATACACACATTGTTACAAGCAGCTTTATTGGTATACAGATACATATAAATCAATTAAACACTTCCACTGGTCCTATAGGGATTCACTTAAGAAACACGAGGCACAGACAGAGGTTGTGGCACAGTCTTAAGCACTAATAAAATGACCGCTCACCCTAATTCAGAGATCACACTCTAATACTACTGCACACAATCCCACAAGAAACCCAACTGATCCCAGTGAGCAGACAGGCTGCCACCACGAAGCTCTAAAGCAGACAGCAGGACCCAGAGATAAAAATCACTAACGAAATAGGCTAAAAATACCAAGAAAAGAAAAAGTTGTATGTTAAAAATACAAACAATTAAAAACACTGGTGGATAATAATCAATACTTGACAAAAAGGAGATAATTTTGCTTAGCTTTTCTAAAGCATACCTAGTACAGGAAGTGCAACAGGGTTTTGAATTGACCAAACCTCAACATATCCCTTATATAGAGGACTGTGTTGAATCAACTTCATTCATTAAGCAAGGAAAAGGCCTGGCACTGTAATTCTCTGTCTATTGCACAGTGTCTGTCCTATATTTATCAGCTGTTTTATTACAGCGATATGGCAGCCTCGCTTCTGTCAGTCTGCCCCAGGGCAGCTGTGGCTACAACCGTAGCTTACCTCCACCAGTGTGTGAATGTGAGAGTGAATGAATAGTGGCATTGTAAAGCGCTTTGGGTGCCTTGAAAAGCGCTATATAAATCCAATCCATTATTATTATTATTATTATTATTACAGGAATAATCAGGAAGATTACAAAAAATCAAAGAAAAAGTATTGTAGAAGTTGCCAGATGATACATGTTTTTTTGTTTTTTTAAGATTGTATGTTTCACTGTCAGCCCCTTTTCATACTGCACACTATGTGTTCTCATTTCAGATTCCACTCTATAATCTTGGTTAACATAGAGAGGTTTCTTATTTCCAGCTAAAATTACAGTGCAAACATATTCTTTAGAGCAGGAGTCTCAAACTTGCACATATTGATGTGAAGAAATATAATACAATTCGGCCCTTGAAGTTGCTTTTATTAGAGAGGATTTGTTTGTTGTTGAGAGCAATGTTAAAATAGGTTCTTTAAAACACCCAAAATTATTTCATATGAAGGCAGAGAGTAAACATGTCTAGGCTGTGTTAGTTAAGTGAGAGTTATTTGTAAAGAAAACAATTTTCACTTGCAGTCAAAAACTAATGTGTACACTTATATATCTGCATTTTTATTTTGTTAAATACAAACAAAATTATAGCAGAAGTGCTGCCACGTGTCTGGCCAGAAAGAGAGTATCAGTTAGTTTATTTGGTAGTTCAATGAAAGGCTTCAATTAGTTAAGAGTGAGGAAAGAAAATTGCGTTCACGTTTGCGATTTTGTCTTGTTATACAATATTTGAAATTTAGAAAAAAAAACCACTACATTTTCAGAAAGATTTGTGGGTGTTTTCTTGTTTGTTTCTTTTGCACTACTTGAACACTAAAGTGGCCCTCCAGTGAGATGACAGTGCCAGCAGTGGCCCACAGCTCATTTAAGCTTGAGACCCCTGCTTTAGAGCATATTTGTCTCCCATCTATAATGTACATTCTCTGCACTATCATTAAGTAATTGTTGCACGTTTGTCAGACATTCAAACCACAAGAAGTTTTGATTTCTCACCCAAAAAGTGTTTTTTTTATTTATTTATATCCGAACACACTATATATACACATCTAGAAATAGACTAGTGTATGTGAATCTCTTATGTCTGTTGCACACTTTTACTCGTGTCATTATTGTTATCTTTAATTTTGCATATTTGATTTTGGTGTTGTCTGTGAAGGTTCTCAATCATCCAGGTCATAGTAATCTAAGCAGCTTGGAAAGAAAAGCATCTGGACTTTAAGTTTCTTGAAGATGTTTCACCTCTCATTTGAGAAACTTCTTCAGTTCTAAGAGGAACTGGTCGAGTCCCAGATTTTTAAGCCTTTTTGGGAGTGTCCCTAAGAGGGTCATTGACCCACTATTGATCGTCTGTCCAATCACATGAACCAAGGTGTGAAAACAGGTATAGGTCACTATTAGTCAAGGTTTCAGGTGTACACATTGTGAGACCTTGCCCTATCCTATCATGTGACTTACTGAGATAAAATGACCCAAAATGTGAGTGGGCGCTAAGACTTCTGAGAAGGGATCTCAAAACTGGATTATAGATAGCAGACCGTTGGTGTCATAGGCACAATGTGTTCACCCGTGAGAGTGTCACCTTGACTTCTGTGATTAGGCAGAGGATCAATACTGGGTCCTTGACCTTCCAAATAAGATTTTTAAACAGTCCAGATGCTTTTCTTTATAAGTTTAGACATAACACCTGATTTGTCAATCCAGGTTTCTATCAATTTTTCATGCTGTACCACAGCGAGCAAAATAGAACTTTATGGCACTAGGATTTTTTTAAAACTTAATTCAACAAAAGATAAGACAAGATAAGACAAACGTTTGCTCTTTTTCATGTGGTACTAATAAAGTGTGAGCTAAGAGCTGTAGCTACCTCAGTAGCACAAAGACATAAAATATATACTGTACAAAATCTTTTCGGAACTTGAACATTAAAGGAATGCAGATGTGCCAGCGTGAGCAAAAAAGAAAAAAGCGACTACTGAGGAAGTTTTTTTCCCCCCTTTCCTCCTCATTTTGTATCAAGTACCTTTTTGAATATTTAATTGAGAGCAGAACAACAACATCTTAACTGCTTTATGATTAGAGGGAAATTTGATAGTGTCAGTTTAGTTGAGGAATTCCATCATGAAAATGGGGAAAATGAGTTTTCTTGTGAATATGAAATTTGGTCCAAAAAAAAGAAAAAAAAATAGAATAGTAAAATGATGTATTTACTTTTTTTTGTTTATGACTGAGGTTTACCAGCAAGTGAGGATTGGTAACAGGAGGAGGAGACAAGTTCAACAAATAATATAAATAGTATAATAGTATAATAATATAAATAGATCACGTCAGACACTTGTGAACATGCATTCAAGTGTGAAGAGAACCATCCACCACCTTCAGCTCTCAGCCTGGACACACACACACACACACACACACACACACACACACACACACACACACACACACACAC